TCTTTCCCTGTTGTTATTGATTGGCTTAATATTTTATGAGAGGTATAAATTAAGAATTAAGCTAGTTAAAGTTAAAAAGTCATGTTCAAAGGTTGTTTTAAATAACTTTTCTGAAAAATTATGATTATGAAAACAAATTATTATAGGAGTTAATGAGATAAGTTTATTAATTTATTAAATATTTTAAATTTGTTAGATTTCATTTTAAAATTAATTGACATTAAATGAAGTTGTCTAAATAGTGCTTATCATAATAAGAAAATCAATAAGATGGATTTTAAATTATAATATCATATTAGATTTCATCTTAAAATAAATTGGTATTAAGTGAAGTTATCTACCATATATATAATTCTTATATGAAGAATTGAGATAGAATATGTGAGATTTTCTAACAAAATTCATAAATTTTTGAATTAAATTATAATTAGGTGACTATATTGATAAAAGCACACTTTTAAATAACCATGTACGTACGGCTTATCAAGCCTATAGTGGCTTTTCATAACCCAAGTCTCGCAAGGCAAATGTATGCCAGCACTTAAATTAGATAAATAAGATAACACTTGAGCTCGCGCTTGATAGCTCAACATCAGCTAATTCCACTAAACTGTAATGTGATTTTAATTTATAATTTTATTGGAAGAGATATTTTTCGATCAATTCCCCTTTTCAAATGCACAATTATAGACAACTCAAAGAGACAGACGAGTCCATGATTCCTACTCAATTAGTTGTAACATGGGTTACAATTAAATCCGTAATTAAAACAATCCACTCATATAGATACGAGGTTAAATTACAAGGGAGACATCTTCACCTTTAGAATTGTTAGATTAGGTTAAAGGTCATTTTGTCGAGCCATGAGGAACCTTACGTGAATATGAGTGGATGCATAATATATTTTTTAAAGAATAACTAATATTAGTGTTAAAAGCCAAAGAAATAACAAAAAATTATGCTCAATATTGCTGTTTTGCATATTATATATGGTATCAACTACAGCGTGTTTGTAAATACACTGTTTTATGTACTCAATTTTGTTTGTAAAAACTAATTTTTTCTTCAATACTGATGCTAACTTTTTTCATATACTTTTTTTTATAATATTTAAATCTTTGTTTTTCTAGAAAGAAAAAATTGATGACTGAGTTGGTATTTTTGTTAAGAAATTGATTTTTTTTTATCTATAAGAATTACAATCACAATAATAATAATTTAAACTTAAATAATTACAATTATAATGACAATAATAATAATAATAATTTAAAGTTAAGACTTTCCATATATATTATTCTAATTCCAACACCCCAATGATTGAGGTTGAGTTTAATTAATCTTGTTTACTGTTTATCAATTTCCGACCCCTTATATTTTCTTTGGATAACTTACCCTGCTTCCCCTTCAAAGGGTGTGCTTTTAGCATATATTCCAATGAGTAAATAAATAATGACAAATGTGAGAAACTTCCGTATAAAATTATTTTATACGAAAACTGGAATGGAAACAAACCGTTAATTAGTTGAGATTCTCCGCAGCCACATATAGCTGGTGAGAATCACTCATTATTGCTCTAGCAATTAGTACTAAATTATTAAGAGAACTGGGTATATTAAAAGTTAGGGCATTCCGTGTATACGCAATCTTTATTTACATGTTTAAATACTATTAATAATTGGGACGAATATTCTTAGGCAGAGTTTGTAAATGATAACTGTAAAGCTGCAACATATCTATTTAACAAGATTCCCTAGCATATGGGCCATAAACCACGGGCCAGATTTTGTACCAATGTCTTCCATAGCTTGGTGTGCATGGCTTGAGGAAAGAAGCTAGGGTTGTCTAGTAGGGTTCGAGTATCAAATATGTCAGTTTTTCTTCTTATTATTATGAAGCTACAATATGGTAGAAGGCAATAACAAGTTGGTTATCGATCTCGGACGCAACTAATTAAACAAAAGTGAGCTTATGAACATATATAGACTCGTATCAAGGGAATGGTTAAACAACATCTAAACAAATTTCGATAGACTTGGCCTCACATTCATAGTGTGGCTAGCTGGCTTTATTTTGGAGGGGGTGAGAGTACAATGATTGTTGAAAATAATAGTAAAAAGAGGAACGCGGGTAAGCAAACCATGTGAACACAGGAAGGAGATATAAAGTCGGTAAGGAAACAATTCATGAAAGAGAGAAAAAAGTAGAAGAGGACCAACAAGATATTTGGATGAAAATAGAAAAGTAAAAAATCAACAAAGTAAGAGCTATAGGAAAAAAGAGATTTGCAAGAGGATGCTTTAATTAGCTACCTCTTTTGCTTTTGGTTCGGTAGACCCGGTCCTATTATGTTCGAGGAAAGGCATGAAGCACGAGGCTGTTCTCGAAATCGCGTAGAACACGCAAGTCCATCACATACACGTGGTGATTAATTAAGATGTAAACAATTACATAGCATCACCTAATTTTGATTTGGATATGGATCTAACTAGGCTTGTTTTTGGTCTCTAATAGCAAAAGGAGGGGAAGGGGGGCGGGCGCAGAGGGGGGAGTGTTATTGTAAACAAACATTTGAAAGCTAAATATTTGTGAGTTACAGTAATCTTAGATGACTTAAGAAAAGACTAGATCTAATTCCTAATTTATTGGGATTTACTTAGTTAATTGCAAAGTAGGTAACAAGTTCATTTTTTGATGGTAGGGTGTTGGATCACCCTTAGAATCACAATACCACCCTTTACTTTATTATTATCATCATTATCTTCAGTTTAAATATTTTATTAACTTTTAATATAAAAAAATTGAACTATTTTAGAAAGTAAGATTCAGGTGCTTGTTGAAAATGCTAATCAATTATACAATTTTTTTTATAATACGTACAAATTTGTAAGTTAACTAGAATCTCAAAGTCATAATTGTACTCACAAAGTGCCTTGCTTGAAGCTGCTTGAGTTTGGAATCCCTCCTCTTGTCCATGCTTCTCAAGGTGACGAGGCAAATCTGCAAAAACATTTTGACCTTCAAGTTAGCAAGTAATAATGATTCCTGAAATCAGTTGCTTTTAAATCCAGTCAAGAATCATTTAAAACCTTCTTCCTTTTTCTTTATTTTTCCCTTTTATATTGTACAGAGGTAAATTAACTCTTTTACTAACTCTGAATGAGGATTCTGTCAAGAAATAACTGATAGATGTGAAATTTCAAAATAGCTCGGGAGTTATCTAAAATTGTTAAACTAACAGAATGTTTAGTAAGATATTTGAAGCTTATAAATTTATTTAACCAAATTATAAACTATTTTCATTAAAATAAACTTGTTTGATAGTATAACTTATTTTAGGATTTAAGGAACAGTTCTTTTAATTTAAACTCATGGCAGTAGCTTATAAGAGAGGGATACAAGATTTAATTACTTCATCAACACCAAGAGAAACATCTACGGGGGTTGTCAAAATGGTGAATATGTTAATGCTTGGATTATGAGTTTGAAGTACTGCAAGTGTTGATATGGTTTGGATGATTTGATGAGATGAAGGAATATAGCATTGTTGATTGGATTTTACTTTACTAGGTGGAGATAATTAATTACTGTGTGGGGAATGTCGTGGGTGAATAGGTAGGGTAATCTAACCTGCCCTCGTGGGTACTGTCCGAATTTGCGTTTATTGAGTTCGAGTTTTT